TGAAAAATATATATATATATATATATATATATATATATAGAAAGAAGACTAAAAGTATTGCCAAAAGTCCTTTGCCATAAAAAAATGGACTCTGATGCAAAAATGAAATAGAGAATACATAACTACCTGACCAAAGAATGAAACATACAGGGCCATGAGACTACCTTGCCCAGCAGCTGCATATGCCTTCCCATCAAGTTCTAGTTATGGTTTTTGAAGATCAGCAGAGCTAAAAGACATGGATGAACATGAATCAAAATTGTCCCAAACATGAGATCTATATGTAGATCATATTCCTATGGTATAAATATCAGTCTAATTCCCTTATCTTCTTTATATTAATTTATTTTATTTTCTTCCTCTTCATTTTTTAGTGGGTAGTCCCAAATTCATATTGACCCAAGCTAATTGAAGTAAATCAAAGAGGAAGAAGAAGAGGAAAAAAAACAAAAAAGAATTTAACGAAAAACCTACTGCTCCTAATTTTTTTCATCTAAGCCTCTAGAGAGGCTGACAGCACCTAAGGTCACCAAAATAACCTTAAGTCCTTGAGAATTCAATTCTTTAACCTGTATTCCATTCAACAGTTTAACAGTCATTGAATGAAACAAAGAAAACAACCCAGTTTTGTTGCAACATAGAGAAATTAGCCGCCTGTTCACATGATGAAAAGAATCTACCAAGTGCTCATATTCCATCATTTCGAGTAACAACAGCAGCCCCGACCTAAAATAAGAACTCATTCAAAACATCAATCCATCAGAGATCTAACTTTACAATTCAGTTGATTACATTGCAAATTTTGTTTAAAACTATTAAATGAAAAGGAGCCTTAATCACTAAATTCAAGTGAAGGTAATGAAACAACTTCAAATTGAATGCCTAGAAATTGAAGAAATCATCCAGGATATGAACAAAAAGAACAGATCGGATAAATGTAGCAGACCTTAATACCCAAATGCTTGACATCTTTAACAAAAGAGCGAGTACAATCAATGCCCTCCATCTTAAGGTAGGTCAGAGCAAGTCCGACACAGTGAAAGCATCAGTCGGGATTATGAAATAAGAAGAGCTTCTTTCATATAAAACTAAGTCAATGACAGAAGGAGCAATCAAAATAAAAGGGAAAGAAGAATTCTTTTACCTGCAGGAGTTGATTCGACGAGCTTCAATAAGGCAAGTCCCTCAATTCCCTCTCTCCGTTGTCTCCTTCACTTCTTCCAAATAATCATTGTGATCTTTTAGAGACATAATTAAACTAACAATAAAGACATAATCCTTATCATCATAAAGACTATAATTTGCAATTTAAGACAAAAAGAAAAAATTGAGGGAAAAAAAAAAACCAAACCCTAAGAGAATACATAACAACATTTAGATTCTGCAATTGATAAAAAGGTTGGTTTATTAGATATAAAAACAAAAATTTGATGCAAGTAAAAAGCCACGGTTAATAAGTACCCATTTCAGACAATTTTATTATCTACCATGCATAGGAATTGTTGGAGCCATGGCATGAAAGCTGAAAATGCAATGAAATGAGAGCTGTTAAATGATGCTCCTACATGACTGCAAAGTTGCAGTAAAGTGAAAGCAGCATGGAGCTGCACATGGGCAGCAAGAAATGGCAGCAAAGTTCAACATTTTAGTCAATGTTTTGGGTAGCTAAAAGTTATTGTATTAGGTAGGAAAATATTATTGTTTTATGTGTGGCCTGTGTAGCCTTCCTCTATAAAAAGGAAGGAAGAAATTGATGAATATTGAGTGTGAGAAAGCGTGGTTTCCCTCTCCGGTTGGGTGAATGTCTGCACCCTTCCATGTTTATGGTTCTATGTCATGTTCATGTTCAAAGTTCTCTCCTCCTCTCCTAATCTAGTCTCTTCTCTCTTCCTTAAAACAAAACTTAACATGGTGTAGAAAATCTATTCATTTTCATCCAGAAATATTGCAAAACCAGTTAAATTGTTGTTGTTCAAGGGCTTTTTTGGGAGTTTAATGGACAGGGCTTTTTATTTTTTGGTTGATTTTACAAAATAGCTCCTCAATGAACTGTTTGCTTTCAAGAGAATTGACCATTAGAATCAGCTCCTCTAATGCTTAGAAATGGCAAAGAAGGAATATTTAATTATACACCTGGAACCCTAAATTATGTTGTGTACAGAAACAGAAGCACTTATGATTTCTACTTTTACCAAACACTAAATCCGAACAATGAAAAATTCAGTTCCTTCTAAAATGAATAATACAGCCAATAATCACAACCAGAGAATTTTAGGACCACCTACCAGTCAATTTTTTCTAGTAGGATAAGTCACAAAAAGATTACTTATTCTGTTTCTTCCTGAAATTCCAACCCAGAACAACTTACATTGCAGAACCAATATTTACAGTGCAGCAACCTCAAATAAAAAACTCAAATCAATCATAAACCCATGATCAAGTTCCTCAAAATGAACCATCAAAAGCAAGTATAGATTTTTAAGACAAAATCAAGATATATGCTATACAATTTAAAGATACAAATTGGAGAAAAAAAAAACATGCCAAAGACTTATGAACAAAATGATATAACTTTCATATCTGTGGATTCCTATACTTCTTCAGCTGCAAAAAAGAAGGTGTCCTTTTGCAGTAAATCAAGTGACAGCAAAATATCCTACATACAAAAGAAAGATTGGCACAATTAGACAACAAAATTTTTTTAAACGACAATCTTGCAAACATTTGATTTCAAGCAAAACAGACCAAGAGCAATATTCATAAGAGCACACCTTGCCAAATTAAGAGGGTTAAATACATAACTTTTCTGAGCTCTTGCTTGCGTGAACCTGAGATACCCACCCCCAACAAATTAAAGT